GTGCACACCTACTCGAGGAGTGCGCCAATATTATAGGTGCCGCGTCCGCGGTGGAATCGTATTAAATTTTATTTATAGCGTTTCGCACAGTATAAGTATAAACGTATACATAAAACACAAAAAAAAAAAAAATAATAATAATAATATTATTTTATACCGCGGCGGCGGCGGCGGCGGTCGTAGTAAAAATGTCGCTCGCCGGACCGCGACGTTTTATTGCGCGTTAATATACGAGCGTGTATTTTTATAAAAAACGCGACGCGATTTGATTTTCGATTATTATTTTTTTTTTCTCTCTCTCCCTCTCCCTCTCTCACACTCTCTCTCTTTTTCTCTCTCTATTTTTTTTAACGTTGTTATATTGCGCGAGCGCGGGCACTGGCTGAAACTGATTTTCGTATTGTAATCCACCCGCTGCGATTGGGAATACGCCGCGTTAAATTAACGCGCGTATATTATATAATACCGTTCGACAACGACGCGTCTGTTTGAACCCGGCGCGTAAATTTCGCGTCCGTAACGTTATAACGATATTATGTGTTAATACACGGTATATATATATTTATTAATTTTTTTATTATTATTTCCCCCCCTCCTTCCCCGTTATATTTATAATAAAAAAGTCGTGAAATAATACGCGCGCGATTCGAAATAAATAAAAAAATATACTACGCGCGTCGCGCCGGTTCTCAGAAAATACCGTTCGACTGTGTGTGCGCGCGTCTCTCGCCTATCGGAACGTTTTTTTTTTTTTTTTTACAGACACGGAAAACCGTGCCGCCGACGTTTTCTTTCGTGTACGGCGTGCCACGTCGTAATAACATCGTAACAGTCTGACCCCGGCGGTCCCGTGCAATATTACCGTCGCGATCGCCGGGGGGGGGGAGAGGGGGCGAAACAATAATAACTCCGGCAACGGGCGCAGCATCGTGTGCTGTGATGAAAAAGCGGTTTTTTTTGTTTTTTTCCAGATAAATAACACATGTAATTTACGTATTACGCTACGCGTGCGCCGGCGTTTTAACGAGTCACGGACAACCGGTCGATTGATAGGGTTAATATTCACGTTGTACGTCTGCGTACAGGAAATTTAACACTATGCGTTGTCCGTTTTCTAAATTTTCGTAACGTTCTCGATCCGATCGGTCGTGCGTTGCGGAGGCGGGTTATTTTTTTTTTTTTTTTTACTTTTCTTGCAGTTTGTTCGGTGAAAACGCGAATACACTTTCGCGTGATTTTTGTTGATTTCCGGGTTATACATCGGCGGATAATAAAATTAACAACAGACCGATTTAAAAATATGTTAACTGAATGTTGAAAATTAAACGTTCCACAGTTACTGAAATAGGAATTCAATAATTACTATCGACACAATTATTTGAATTAAAGTTATTTTCGTTTGACATTTCTTTATCGGGTAAACTGTATATGTTTACATGACTTGCGAGGTTTTCAACGTGCTTTTTTGACGTGTATGTCTTTTGAAAAAAAAAAAGCTGTCAATTTGATCGATAACAGCTAGGGTTTCTTACTGCGAGTATAAGTGCAATCAGTTTTTAATAGCGGATTTAGGTATAACTTATTGCGAACCACTAAATCGTGCAAATCATCCATCGCTAATTTACTAATAAAAACAATTTATATTCTTACCTATATGGGCACGCGAAAAATGCATTTCGCGCATCAACGATTACGATACTTTAAGTGAATTTAATGCTAGCAAAAGGTCTATTGTATATTTTATAAAGAAGAGTATTTACTATAACGCTTTGACAAATGATTTTTTAACATGTTCATGTTTTATTATGAAAATATGCGTTTTTAATTGAACTTCATCTATCATAAGTTCATACTAAGCATTGATAACATATTACGGAATTATTATACTAAATAAAACCATTGGGTTAAGGCATAGTAATAGTATCATTTGCTGTTAAATGTATAATAGATCGCATTGCCATAAACTCGACCGGAGAGTCGCAACCGTGTAATGATTTATTACGCGCGAGACAGACAAGAAAAACAAATTATGTGTATAAATAGAGACCCCTTAATATTGTAATAAATCATTTTAATTTTATAAATCATTTCCCTTGGCGCGTTAAACGTTAAACGACATCGCTGGATTACTGAATTATAAAAAGTACAAAATTAAAATATTATCGCCACGCGTATAAAACCGTCTTGTTGTCTATTAGCCACGTTACGAAACATACCCAACATCTGTACCGCAGACGCTTAAATGGCTAAACAGCTATGGAGGAATAACGGTGTCGTGATCTATAATAAAATAAATGTAAAAAGTTAAATAGTCGTGTAAATATAGGAGCAACGATTGATTGGCAATTTGTTCACCAACATATTATTTCGTTAATCACAAATCTTTCGACTTTTGTCACGATATTGTAATTTGTGGGTACTAATGTATCGTATTTAATCCCAGGGACTGCTGGACAAGTAAATTAATAATGTTAACTCAGTTAATAGAAAGTACATATCGCCTTTGAACTTTTATGAAGGTTTTATATATTTAGTCTAGTCAGTGGTGACGTACTGCTACTGTTAAACTGGTCAGATTACTGCTTATAATAGTAAGATGTGTACGCCAATATTATAAATGTTAATATTACGGACTGGACACATGGCGTACTCGTATATCAGGCAGTCCTATCTCTGTAAAAATAAGGACAATTTTATTTTTCTGAGAGTTTCTATTAAGTGTTAAAATTTAAATCGTGTATGCGTTTCGGGACAACTGCTGAACTGTCGGTTTGATTTTTAAAGTTTTTGCGATGGGACTAATCCAAGGCCGTACGTAGTGAACAGGAAGCGAACCCGATTCGAACCAGGGGATTTACTTAAGAGAAAAAATATACTAATTACAATACAATAATGTAATAATATATAGAAATATTTACATATTCTCCCTGAGCAATATCAAATGCTATGGACGGTTCTGGGCTCATCGGTCCGCATGCTGCAGCCGTTAAGATTGTGGTATAATCAAATTTATTATATTCTACTAAAATTTTAAATACGAACGTATGTTTGGATGGATAGCGATGGATATATGTTTGTTACCACTTGTCGCTCAAGCTGCTGAACGGATTGAGCTTAAATTTTGTATACCTAATATAGATATATGGTTCTGAGCGAGGAACAAAATTATATTAGATACTTCACTTCCCCCCGAATTAAACTCCTAAAGAGAAGACTGATAAGGGATTGTTGGTGTTTTGGGAACGAAAATCAAACTTTTGTCAGTTGCCTTGGCGACGATAAAAAAATAATAACATGTTGAAACAAACAATTCCGAAATAGTTAACTATACGCAGTGTAGTCCGTGCGAGGCACTAGCGGTAACGGCGTTGTACTTGAGGGATATAGGTCCGCTCACAACGAATAAACAGAGAAATTAATACCCGATTACTATTAATTAATACTTTGAGGGTGACTAATTTCTCTGTTTTTTTAACGGGATTAGACCCCTCAAGCAGCCCCTTAAGGCGCGCAAAAAAGTTCTGTCAATGGTGCGAGGCCATATCGGCGTAGTAACCATAAATATTGAATGTCTATTAATAATTCTTTCGCGGGCAATGCCGGGAGGGACGGCCGTAGTAATCGATACATTATTACATTATATTGTACCGTTCACGAATCATATCACATCGCTAATATTATAATACATAAAAATATAAGTACGCGTAATTCGATATCAAAATATATTATGCATGTTTGTAGTATAGTGTACGTGTGTACGTTGCGTGCAGGTGTGTGTGTGTATGTGTGTGTATAACGTTATAAGCCGAACGAGGGATGATATACGTTTCACAATGGTATATTTTGTTTTCTGAAGACAACTTTTCTACAGGCAAAATCGCTTCGATTTTGCGAATACATCACTAATTCTGAAAGAAACTGTGACTGGGGGGGAGGTACGTTTTAGGTCATTTTTTAAATTTTCTTAACTGGCTTCATGAAAAAATGGGAAAAGCCGGGAAAAACATGAACAAAAGTAAGGAAAACGGGAAAACAGGCACAATATAAATCAAATATTATTAAAAAAGAATATACAATGCATATGTAACTATTTTAATATAATACGACATAATATTATATTGTTGACAGAGCAACGCTATGAAGCGAAATCCGCTCAGAATCATTATTCGTTAGCAGTAGTTAATCGTTGCGTCCACATTATGTACATTTAATTTCTCCTTTACCTTCCCAGCTTCTCACGTACCACATTGGCCCACCTTCGTGCGAAGTATATCCCTATTTTTTTTTTTTTTTAAATTTGTTTTTGATTAAAAATTCGATAAGAACATTTCAGATACAAGTAGTTTTCAAATACGTCCATTATCGTCTAAATAGTGCAAAACAGTAATGTTAAATTATTTCAATTTTAACATTATGTGTCCAAAAAACAAAACATAGGCAAAAATACTGGTGTAGATTTCGAATAAAAAATTAAATAATTGTTCAATTGTTTCTTTAAACTGACTTAAAATCACATTTGGCAAAATAAAATGTTAATACAATACAATTAGGTCATTCCTGAATATCTTGGGCGCAATGATTTCACCAGTTCGGTAAGAATCTGGCGGAATAATGGAATAATCGTCCCGTATAAAATAGAGCGACAAATAACGAAAGACGAAAGGTATCAAATGAAAATATACTACTAATAACGATCGATTGAAATGCGACAATATTTATCACGGCAGCGTGAGGAAAACGATTTTGAATTTCGGAAATACGATTATTTGGGACTACAGAATTATAATAATTTCATCGTGGCCACAAACTCCAACAACGTGGAAACGGAAAATAAACAAATACGTGGGTATAAATAGCGAACAGTTTGTAATATTTAATTATATTTCACTCATATAATTTTTTTGTATTTAAAGAAATAAGTATTACATATTCGTACATTTTCGATAAGATCGAATTCAGTTTTAAAACTTTTTTTATAGATTTTTTTTTATTCCGTCTCAATGGCCGTGTCATTGTTTGTTGGAAATCTATCCAGCACTGTCACCTTAATGAGCCTCCGCTCTTTATTTCAAACGATTGGCGAAATCGCCTCGATCAAGTTATGTCGAGATAATAATACTGGCCGTTCGCTCGGCCACGGTTATGTTACTTTCGAATCGTCGGACGATGGTAAGCTTTTTTCTTTTATTTTCATAACTGTCAATGGCGAAATACGCTTGACCCCAGCGCGCAGACGCTTCCTACCAGCAAATCTGACGGATGTCCGGCCGTCCGGTAATTCATTGTATATGTTAATTACGTGCGCGGACCGGTGAAAACGAGCACGGGACGCTACAATTTTAAGGCTAATATCCACGGTTATCTAAGAGAATTGTTTTAGTTATTGAGTTTAGATCAATATAAATATTATACTTACTAAGAAATCGCAATTTCGGTTAAAGTCGACTTTACCGGGCACCCTCTGTTTTTGTTTTTGTTAAAATTATAACTAAAAAAGTTATGGAAGTTTGAAGTTCGTCGTCAATACGATTTTCGTATATATACCTACTTAATTTTATAATACAGTGACCAGTCGTTGAATTCGTATTTTCATTTCTAGCTACTCGAGCAATAGAAACCATGAATTGCAGCGAGTTGAATGGAAAACCTATCGAAATCGCGTGGTCGTGGCGCGACCCGGCCATACAAAAGTGTCAAAACGCGAATTTGTACGTTAAAGGTTTAAAAGCAGACATTAACGCCAAGTGCCTTTACGAAGCTTTTACATCATTCGGTGAATTAATAAGTTGCAAAGTAAGTGATTGTGTTTGTTAATAAACTCAAATAGTAGTAATAATGGTAATTGAAACATATTACGAAATATAATAATAAGCTTAATAATTGAATATATTTAGAGTATATAAGTGTGCGATTTCGTTTAATGCGTTATAGTTTTAATTTATCTAGGTAGCTCGTGACAAGCAGGGAGTATCAAAGGGATACGGATACGTCCAGTTTAGGAAAGAAAAAGACGCGGAAGAATGTATTAAAAAATTAAATGGTATGTGCATTCAGGGAGAGAAGATATTTATCAGTAAATTTTTCTCAAAAAAAGATCGAAAAACTAATATTACGAATCAAGGAAAATTTACTAATATATATATTAAGAACCTACCCGGAGAATTTAATGACGGTGATTTAAACGACATGTTTGAGGTTTATGGTGAAATCACTAGTTTAAAAGTTTGTTACTATTAATTTACGTCTGCAATAATATTACTATTGTTTGATTTATAATTTATTCTATGTAGCAGTACATTCATAATCTAAATTTGTAGGTAATGCGCAGAGAGAATGGTTATTCTAAACGATTTGGATTTGTTAATTTCCGAAAACCCGACGATGCCGAAAAAGCTGTGGAAGGATTAAACGGCAAACCTAGTCCATCCGGAAAAGTTAATATATTATAATGCATAATATGTTTTAACAAAATTATTGTCACATATCATTATTAAATGTTTTAGAATTACTATGTGGCGCGCGCCCAACCAAAAACCGAACGTGAACCCACACTCATTAAAAAGTTCGGAAACACTAAAAAAGTAGAACCGGTGAACGAAGTCAATTTGTACGTAAAAAACTTAGACAGTACAGTTACGGACGAACGGTTAAAAAATGAATTTAGTGCATTCGGTGTGGTAACGAGCGCAAAAGTAATGAATTATTCTTTACCTTTACCTACAATGGAACTATCCAAATTGTTAAGTAAATTACTAACATTATCATACGCTATAAGGTTATGAAAGGCTTCGGCTTTGTATGCTTTGAGTCAGCAGAACAAGCAAGTAACGCAATTGCGCAAAAGAACAGAACCCGGATAAATAATAATATTATTTATGTGGCATTGGCGCAAAAAAAGGCGGATCGCTTGAAGAATAACTACAACAAATCGCATGTCAAAGCGGAAACCGCCAAACCAGAAGGTGATTTGATAATTAATAGATCTAGATTAATTAGATAAAACCTCAACATGTAAATCGTTATATAACTCATGATATTTTAGGTTATGAAGCTATTAAATCGCCGGAAAGATTAACAGGAAATCAACAACCCGGATTACCAGCTCATGGGAATAACGCGTTTTCTTGTGGTAATGTACACTTTAATTATTTATTCGAGTATAATAGGGAGAGAAAATAAAATTTAACTATGACTAATGAAATAGAGCAAAGAGGCACAATTTTCTTTATATTTTTTTCTCTTTCCAAATCGTGAATAATAGGTAAAACCGTGAAAGAAAAACGGTTTCTCGAAATAATTTATTATCTATGTATTATAAAATAAATGTTTTATTTTTCTAATGGTTTTCTATATTAATTTTGATATTTTTAGATTTTGCACACAATACCTCGCCGTACACAGCAGGAGAAATTCAGCAACCTGGAATAACAGCTGGGAATAACTTGTTGTATTATGGTAAAATTTAATCCAATTATTTATTTGCGTATAAGGGAGATACAATTTTAGTTCAATCGTAATTTACAACGAAAAAATAAAGCGAAAAATATTATGTGACTGTTTTAACTCTTAAGCTGCGCGCATTTATAATGCTACGCGTTTTATATTTTTTTATAATTATGATAAATGAAATGGAGCAAACGTAAAAAGACAAATATTTCCTCAAAATATTTTTATTATCTATGTATTAAAAAATACATTTTCCATTTTTCGCATAGCTCTCTATAATACCTTGATATTTATAGGTTCTGTACTCGTTAACCCACCGTACCAAGCAACAGAAATGCAGTATCCTGGGAATAACATGTATTACGGTAATATTTCATTCAATTATTTATTTGCGTATATGGTACATAAAATTTTACATAGGTCCTAATATAAAAATTTAAAACGCAGAAAAAATTATAAATATTAGAGCTTTTAAGTAAGTACATTTATCATGTCGTTTTATATTTTTTTTTATAATTATGAAAAATGAAATGGAGCAAAGAAGAAACGTACAAGGACACATTTTTTAAATATTTTTTTTTGTTTCCAAACGGTGCATAATAGGTAAAACCGTGAAGACAAATGGTTTCTTAAAATATTTTATTATTTATGAGTTTTAAAATTAATTTTTAATTTTTTTTATAGCTTACTACATTACTTTTCATATCTTTAGGTTCTGCATTCATTAGCTCACCGTACCAAGGAACAGAAATGGTGTATCCTGTAATTACACCTGGAAATAACGTGTATTATGGTAATATTTAATCCAATTATTTATTTACGTACAAGGGAGATACAATTTAACATAGGTCCTAACATACAAAATTATAAATTTTATAGCTTCTTAACTACGAACACTTATAATTTCGTTTTATAATTTTTTTATAATTATAACAAACGAAATGGAGCAACCAGGAAACGTAAAAAGTCACAGTTTTTAAACATTTTTTTTTTCCAAACGTTGCATAATAGGTAAAACCAGAAAAAACTAATGGTTCCTAAAAATATTTTATTATTTATTTGTTACAAAATAAATGATTCATTTTTGGTTTAGCTTTCTATTATACTGTTAATATTTTTAGATTCTGCATTTATAAGCTCGCCGTATCAAGTACCAGAAACTCAACATCTTGGAATGACAGCTGGGAATAACATGTACAATTGTGGCGCTATTTATCCAAATAATGTATATGCGTAAAATTGAGGGCAATAATTGTCCCGACCCACTGCATATGTCCACAAGTACCGCATGGTTTTATGACATCTATAATCGTGTACCCTGTCCCTAGTCTCCCGTTATGGTTATTTGATTAAGTGATCGATGATTTTTTAATTTAATTTTATAAATTTTGATAGGATATGTTTTAATTATGTAATAATACATCTGTGTACCATTTTGTAGGGAATTATTCTGTTTTTTCGGCTCTGGTTTAATGTTTCAGGTATTTTATATAAGTTTCCTAAATGTTGTACTCTCACTTTATTAAGAAATTCTGACAGTATCGTTTCGTAACCCGGAATTTTTTCCAATTTTGAGCACTCCAAACGTTTCGTCTACCCTTTTATTTACAGGGTCTTTCCTGTTTTATGGCTTATTTCTTAAAACCCTAAAACCCTAACCTTTTATTCGGTCTTTTAATATATCTACAACGGTGTTGTTAAAATTATCTATAACATTGATTCGATGTTTTTTTATATTCCATTCTTATGTTTGTTCTAAATCCTACTTTAAAGTCATTTACTCCTTCGAAAAAACTTTTATTTGATTGTTTCTTTTTTTGCTTTCGATTGGCTCAGTTTTGGTTCTTTTCCATTGTCCTTTGTTTATTCTCGCGGTCTATTTTGTCTGTCGTTTTTTAAAGTTAATACAACACGATTGAAAAATAATTATGTTAATATAATATATAATGTCATTATTTCACCATGCGAATCCCAAATTGTATTACCCATCGGGACGTGGTTGCTCGTCTTCAAAGATTTCATTCGGAATCGCTTGTAATTTGGAAAATGTAAGTGTTTACTAATCGAATTATTAGAACTCAGTTCCGAACTAATACGGATTGAATGAGTTATTTTTTTTTTATAGAGCCGGAATCAATAATAACCAAAGAAGATTCGTGAAGACGTCTACATATAAGTACTGCAAAAAAATGTCGGACTGCCCAATTTTATTATTTGTATTACTATTAGACGAAATAAAATATAAGAATTTTAATCATATTATTATAACGTTTTTCTTATTTTCTTTTAACTAAATTATAGTATATTATGTACTTTTTGTTACTATATTCTTAAACGTTTCTTTTCGCAGGGAAAATGCGTCCATTTGAATTTTGTAAATTGCAATTAAGATGTCATTGGATATTATTATATTATTTTAACGATATATGTGCCATATTGTGTTATTTCGAATAAATATGCACGTAAAATATGTATATTTGCTATATATATATATATATTTCTAACATTTGTAAATCATAATAATGTGTTTACTTATGTATCGTTTCGCGTGATGTATCTCACTGATTTGCGATTAACTTCACGGTCGAATCAACCCGATATGTAATTTATTGAATAGCAGATTATATTTTTAACTAACTACGTTCAGTTACGGCAGAGTCATTATGTGGCTGAGATGATCGATTTATAATTGCCGACAATATCACAAAAAAAAATCAAATCAAATCTAAACGTGCGATAAGATGAGTTCAACTACGGCCGAGAAAATTACGCCGCCGTGTCTCTTTTCGCGGCGAACGTCGCGCGCGATGCGGGGCACGCGGTTTTCCGACGGGGAATCCACGGGCCGCGCGCGTTTTCGTCGGGTATAACGAAGGAGGACGAGAAAATACGGAGAAATTACCGTACGCACATAAACGATAATAACAATTACAACAATAATAACAATAATAACAATAACAAAAGGGGAGAAAAAGGGCGGTTTACGGGGAATATCGCGCGCGGCATACGAGGTCGCGTCGTCGTCGCCGTCGCATACGATCATATACCGTGCAATTATGATTTAAATAAATATAACCGTACGGAGAAAAAAAATCGTTATACGTAAATCGTACTGCGCGATAAAAAGAAAAAAGAAAAACAAAAAAAACCGAAAACAAAACGTCTCATATAGGTGGGTACATTACGTTGTAAGTGTCGTGCGTGCGTGCGTGCGTGCGTTCGCGCGTACGTGCGTAACGATGACACTAAACATCTGCCGTTCGGGGTAGTAAAAATGCGATTGGATGATTAGTGGCCGGTTAGTGGGGGTACTTGGGGCCAATGTAAGGAGACGCGTACACGGGCAGCTCGCATGTACCGGCGGCGGCGGCGGCGTCGGCGGCGGCGGCGGGACCCTCGATGACGACGACGACGGTGACGGGTCCGCGTTCCGAACTAATTCGATATTGTATTACGTACGGGCGTGCGGAATGCGAAATCGGCGGTTGATAATATTTCGAACAACGATTTACGTCGGTAATATAGGTGCCATAATATTACCGGCGGTTTTAGGGGGGGGGGGAAAGAAGAGAAAAAAAAAATGAGCCGGTACCGGATACGGGCGCGTCGCCGTTGCGCGCGCGGCCGCGAAGTGTCGGGAGACCGCAGAGCAATACGTACAGTTATTCAATTTATGCCCGCGGACGACGACAGACCGTCGTTCGCGAAAAACGATTCGTGGCGGAGTTCGGTCGTGCGCGTACCGAATGGCCGCGTAAATATTAACGATTTTCGTCAACGTTCGATTCTTTCGTATGGATACAATAAAATATTACATATTCATTCGTTTTTTTTATTTTTATTTTTTTTTTCACCGCTTTGGTGTAAACATTTTACCCACATGCCACGTCTATCAAAACAAAAATTTCGCGAAAAATCGCAAAATTAAAATGTCTATAAACAGCTCAAAAATAGTTCAAATGTTTTGAAAATTTTATCGCCTGTATCAAAAGCAAATACGAGTTTTCTGTTGAAATTTCGAGTCTACGAATATTTTAATTAGAATTAAACAGAAAAAACCCGTTCTCGTTTTCCCGTTCTCTCTACGATTTTTTTTTTCATGTTTGCTCATAAAGTAAAAAAAAACTATTGAACAAATCAAGAAATGATTTTACTATTTATCTTGTATATTGAACGTGTAATAAAAAAGGACTTCAGTCGTTTTGCTTTTGGAACTATATTTTCGGTAGAAAAGGGAAAACATAAGCCGTACACATTTAAAATAATGGAATCCTAACGTCGTAAATTTATGAGTTTTTTATTTTTCGTCCGGTTTTTCTCAATTTTTACCAAAACTACTTGAAAAATCAAAAAACTAATCACTTACTCATCAACTAAAATTTAGATTTAATGTGCAAAAAATGTCTTCCATCTAAAATATTGTATATCGAGCAAAAATGAAATAATTCACACATTTTCCAAAGATATGTATTAATCTGTTTAAAAAAAAAAAATGTATAAACTTGACCTGATAAACTTTCGTACGCGAATCGTATGGGTTATTATAATGTCCGCTTAAAATCCTAATCGTGTTTTTTTTAGATTGTGAGTAGAGCGAAGCGTATTGTTTTACAATGATGTTTATGTTTGAACAATTTGTCTACCAGAAATCTCGCTCTGATTTACAATGATGTTACTTTTTCTAAAAGGACTGTGGAAGTACTGTAAGGCGGTCATTTTTTGATTTTTCCAAAAAGTTTCCCAATAAATGGGGAAAAACACGGGGAAATGGGAAAATAGGTACAGTATTAAACAAAAATTATTAATGAAAATAACGCATATTTAATTATTTTACCATAATTTTAACATTATATGTAATATACTGTTAACAAAGCAAAACTATTAATCGAACTCCGCTCAGAATCGTTTTTTCGTTAACAAAGGTTGCTTGCATAGATACACATTAAAGTAACCTATAGCAGTGACTGCGCCCGTTACCATTATCCTAGGACAGAATATTTTCGTTCGTTCCAAATCGAAAGAATAGACGAAAATATGAATTTGAAAATAAATTACGTAAACCGGCAAGTCGCTGCGTTGTACGCGTTTTTCAAGCACCGTTTTTTATAACGGGCCGAATCACTTTGATTTCGGGTTTGAAATACGGTATACCAGTGACGGATTCGATTCGTCTTTTACTGGGAGAGGGGGTGGGGAGGGAGATCAATATCCTTTAGGTCCGAAAATTTCACTTTTAACCAACATGGCCGGACGTCAGTCAGTCAACGAGTGACCGTTGACCGCTTAACAAGCGATAGCACAACTACACGTACAGAGGCCGTGATTATAATTTATTAACGCTCTGAACTTTTATGCAGATTTCTGAAAGAAATTGTTATTTATAGGTAGTTCGATGTCGATACGCTCTCCCCCCCACCCCTCCCGCTAAATGACGCGCTCGAGGAGGTACGTACCGTGCGCGGTCACCGCCGTTCGACCGACCTTTGACGGTCGTCTCGCCGTGACTTTATGGTAATATTATTATTATTATTGTGCATCCGACCGGACGGCGTTACGCGAACGAGTGCGCGACAGCCGTCCCCATACACAACGACAACATAATTATTAATACCATATTATCGAGTAGTCGTATTATAATTTTTTTTACGAGGACGCGCGCGTACACAATGCGCGCTCATGTACAGGTACCTACGTGTACAGAGCGATTCCGGGTGCACGGTGTTCGCGGAGCAGCCCGATTGCGCCCGAAATATTAAAAAAAAAAAACGCGTTAAAACCGTGCAACGTCGCCGACCTGTATGCCGGAATACCATTGCGATAGTATTGCGCACTGACCTTTTATCGCACTACGTTTTAAAGGTTTTACGCCCTTACATCGATATTAGTCGATTTTATCTTGATAATTGCGCTCCATGACAGTTCTCTCTGCGGTGAACGCGTTGTGCAACGTTACACGAATATTACAAACACAAGTTGCACGTGTATGAAAACGGATTCAAAAATGACAAGTACTACTAAAAGCCGCCAATGTTTAATTTTTCGTAACTTAAAAGTCCACTCTGTTGGAAATTCGGTTTCGGGAGATATAAGTTGGCGTTACATTAAAAAAGAAAAAAAAACTGTAGCGCATATGTACTTAATCACGACGACGGTGTTGTATGTGAAATCGACGCACATGAGCTATATACATTGGCAAGTAGTACCTTATCTTTCGGGCGCATCTGTGCACATCCCTCTGGGTGCAAATGGGCTACTCCGGGGCACAAATTGGCTGTAGCGGGCATTCGGTATTCGGCACCGGCATTCGGACGGCGGGAAAATCTTGTTGGATTTCCAAATGCGTTCGCACACCATTCTATGATATTAGACTATAATAATATTATGTTACACGTCTGCACTGCGGCGGTTCTCAACCTTTTCGACACTACGGATGACCGACAAGTCCGAGAGAACTCGAGCTTAAACTTAATATGATATAGATGAATAGTTCTAGACGAGCAATAAAATTACATGGGACAATTCTTATCCCCCCCTCCAAATTCAACTCCTAAAGGGAGGACTGACACGTGATTATTGGTGTTTTGGGAATGAATTTCGAACTATTTGTTTCGGTTGCCTTGGCGATAATCCGGATGAAATGGAAAAAAAATATTTAAAACAATCTTTACTTCGACTTTAATATCGATTAAATTTGCATTTAAGTTTTTGCTGACGGTGCTAAGCGTTTTACTGGACGTCAATAATTGTGAGGTCAGATAGTTCGTACAACCACTGTCGCTTTACGTAAATTGTTTTTTTAATTTCGTATTTGTGGGTCGCTGACTATAAGTTAAGAACCCATAATCTACAGGGATGGTAGCGGAAAATTTCTCACGGAAAAAACGTTCGAGGAAGAAAAATCTCGATTGATTCTGCACTGTGTACATGCTGCCGGATTTATCTAAAAGACGCCCCTAGACTAATAAAAATAAGCACTTATACTTCTTATAACATGGACGGAATAAGAGCTGAGATCCCTTCCCTGGTTTTAATTACTATTTTTATAAGCTTAATTTAAATTTAAAAGTATTTTAAAGTAAACCTAAGAAATCACTCCACTTTACCCAAACTAAACAAATTACTCCTCTCCACTTTATCTAACCACACATAATCCTATGGTTCACATGCTCACGAAAGCCATAATTCTTTTGTACAATAGATTTTCTCCTATCAAAGTTAAAAAATCTGTAAAACATGCATTATGATACCTCGTCGCACCTGTAGTCAACGTGCACATCCTAAATGGGACAATCAGACAAGTTTTCTTTAGAACTCTTCATACTGATCTTCTCCCACGGGGAGCGTCTTGAAAATATTGTAAATATGTTTTAATGATGTAAAGTTTTATCGCCCATTTACTTATTGAATGTTCAAATAATATGCAGTACAACTTTGTTCATTCGAATTTTAAAAAGCCCGGAAAATAGTTCACGGATTGTTAAAGTTATTTTCGACTTATTTAATTAAAAAAAAAAAAAAAATTATAAATATATTCCCAGTTTAATGCAAATTTATCGGGTAGAAATACAGATTGGAAGAGAGATAAAGTTAAGTCCGCACTAACCGATATAACAATATAAACCACTTTAATAGATACCCACTATGAACAGTTATAACCGAAAGTCGGCCAGCTCCGTGTTTTTTTTCTTCTTATTCCATATTGTGTTATTATTTGCCTTATTTTTTTTTTTTCACATATTGTTATACAATTTAAAAGGCCTGTATCATTAATCGATTATAAATGAATAAAAGTGATGTTTTCGTAGATACATATTATAAGACGTTAAACAGTTCTAGACAATTTTTTTTTTAAATTTTGTCTTAGGTACCGATAAAAGTCGATGTGCGTCTACGACCTGTACATTATGTGCACACGGGACAAGGCTAACGTTTCGCGTATGTCGTGAAAATCATATCGCATCAAACGATTTTATGCAAGTGGAATTCAAACGAAATTCTCGTATAGACATATACGAGTACTATTACAAACGCCAATGGACCGTGATAAAACAATCGCTCTGTATTTCAATTTTTTATATTTTTTTTCTGGGATGTTACGACACGAAGGACATTCGAACCGCGAACCGGGACGAGACCTATTCGATTTAATGAAAATAATATTATTAACTATAATCGTCGTGTCGTGTCGTGTCGTATTTTATCATCGGACGGCGGCGGCGGCGGCGGCGGCGACGACGAACGACTGCGCAGTGGCCGGCGGCGGCGGCGGCGTCACCTTGAGCGTAACGAACCGAACCTTAAAACGCCGCGCACGAGTTCCGCGCACTTTCGGCGTAACACTATTTTGTATTGTGTTGTGTATGCGGTTTCCCCCCCCCCGTGTAGGTATTATTATCGCGTGCGTCTGTAGCTGATAAGAACGACTCGAATGATAATGTAACATTACGTCGGCATTGTAATATTATTTTCGGCGGTCTTTCGTGAAAATAATAAATTATTGGTACCTACTAAAATCCCGGCGCGACGTCGTCGTTCAAGGACGGCGCGCGATTATCAATTATAGCATTACAGTACTATATTCGTGTTTTGGTCTTTGCGTACCGTCTTTTTACACGGACTTTGACCGTATAATAACAGTATACAGCGTGACGGTAAACGACGCAGCAGCATTCCACGTTTCGGCCGAACGGACTTTTAATGGGACGTTACACCCTCATCAACTGTCCCAGTCCAACTACCGGGTAACATGCAAAAACGACGCTTACGCGGAATAAGAAAAACTATCTTGATTTTAGTGTAAAAGTACCTATTGTGAAATGCACAGAGAACAATATTTCGGGAGAATGTCATTGGTGTTTTTTAAATTATTCACTTTTTGAAAAAGTTATAGATTAAACCTCCCCCCCCCCCAAAAAAAAAAAAATAAAAATGGTTTTTGTACCTTTATTATACCGAGCTGTATATTTTAAATAATACAAATACCCTATGCCATTCCCTCAAAAATATTGTTCTCTAAAAAATTCATGACAAGCACTTTTACCCTAAAACCAAAATTACTTAAGCTAGTTTTACTTGTTCTGCGTAATCATTGTTTTTGCATGTTATACCTGGTAGTTTTGTACTGAGACAGTAGATGCGAGTTTAACGTCCTCTTAATATTGAACGTACGGTTTTATACGTACATGAATTAAGAAGATAGGTCTAGGAACGGTTTTATGGGGGGGATGGTGAGGGGTCTGAGTGGGCCGCGGCCGAGGGGTGTCCGATAATTCGGAGCTCCCGCAGTTTTGGAATTATATTATAAAATCGTATTGTTGTATTGAATAGAACTGCAAATTTACTGCAAGGAATAGGAAAAGATTGTTTATCCAATGCTGAAATAGTTGTTTGCATTTATATATTTCTCACGGTTACAAACAAAGGATCGTTTTTTAATTTAAAACAAATACAAAACAGATTGTGTACTTCTATGAACGAACTTGCTAGAATGAGCTCAGAACCGGATATTTTGAGAAAATTTGATCTTCAAAATCAGTTAACTTTTGAACATGGGATCTTCGCTGGAAGTTAAGTCATCAAAGATAACAAATTCGTATAAGGCTGAGGAGGAATTTTCGCATAAGGTCGAGTCATCCAAAATAATATCTTCGTCTAAAGTTAAATTGGTATCTCGACTGTGCAAAAAAAAATTTTACCTTGTAAATATTAAATCAAAAATTAAACATTCGTGGGATTCTGAAAAATTTGTTCTTATAGAATAATTAAGAAACTATCATTTCAAAATGCATTTGATTATTTATAATAATCAGCATAGAAAAAATATATAAACTATAAAACGTTTTTCCCGTACAGCGTATTTGAATAATTTATACAATACATCATCATTGATTATACGATATTTGCGTTTACGCATAGACGCCGTCATTATATGGAGCGCTAGAGTAGTTGGGATACAGCCCGAACAATGGCGATACATAGGCGTGATTAGAGGGCTTAGAGGGTCTTCACCAAACACCCCTAAGTTTAAAATTAACACCCCCCGAAAATATCCGAAAAGATGTTTTATAGTATAGACTAAATATTTTATCCGTGTATTTCACGATAAGCAGAATAAAATACAAATTATCAACTGACAGCGTATACGTGGGTATAAAAAATAATGTTAAAAACGTTATGATAAATTTTAACATAAAAAATTGTGAAAAAAATGTGTAGTTGCTTTGCGGTATTGCGTAAAAGGGATTGTGGGAGTATTGCATATTATATGGGTCTGTGATGTGCCAAATATTTTAGCACCCTCGAGGTTGCAAGTGGTCTAGTTGCGCCTATGTCAGGTGGCGACCCCGTTATAGATATGTGACACAACGTAAATTTCGTTGAATCCGGTAAAGTTTTGATTAGAAATAACATTAAAATACAGATATATAATACACAAATCAATACTAATTTATAAATAGGCATAGAAAATATAATATTATTTTTTAACGATCGACAAAAACAAATTTAAGTTGCGTTATATTATACAACAAAACACGTTTTAAACGCTTTACTTATATTGGACTTTATCGTTCGTTAGTTTGGAATTCAAAAGTAAAACCGAGAACATTTTCCTATTTTATAAAACGATGTTGAGTGAACGATTCAAAGTAATCCTGGATATTTTAATTTTTAACTCGATCGGGATAAAGTATTAAGTAAGGTCGAACTGCACTCGGACCAAGAAAGATATTTCAGCAAAAATATTCGAAACTATAAACTTGATTCAAACTTTTCTTAAACACTTATTTCCATTTCTACTTAGAATTAAGTAACTGAAGTGATTAAAAATCACTTGGCTTGTACTTGACTTCATTTGGGATCATCATCTAAAATAATTTTTAAATATAAAAATCTCGCTTCGATCATCAACTTTATAATTTGTTTATAGTAGGAAATTTTGATCAGTTGTTGAATTGGGGATGACATTTTTTGAGTTTACTTCTATTTTTTCTAATACCGGGAGAACGAAATATTGTTCTTATGGTTATACAAAATATCGAAAACTCGAAGTGACTATATTAGATTCTAAGTGAATGAGAAATGTATTTATTTTACTAAAGGTGTAAAACTTTTTTACCAGAATTTATACAATTTTTAATTTAGGTGGTGCATTTAAGAAGTAATTTTTTGATTTTTGTGTAGATTTCTAAATAAATTGGAAAAATTAACGAATGTTTTGTTAACTTCTTGGTTACCTTGGTAACAACGGAAAAATTACGACTTATAATACTTTACTCAGAATCGTTTATCGTTGCGCATAAATTAAATTACTCTACGTGTATCCTTCTTTCCAACGTCCCTCCTATTTATTAGATTCTGAGTGGAGTGAAGAAACTCATGGTTTTACAAAGATTTTTATTTTTTTACAACGAATACATTTAATGTGATTATGTTTGCATTATATTGGACGGAAACAAATAGATGGAAAGTGGCCGGTTAATAGTTGCAGGTTTTACAACCAAATTTCTCTAGTGAGTTGTAAATGTGGGAGGGGGGGAGTGGTAGTGAATATTCGTTATAGTGAAATTTCACACCCTCCTCTCACGGTAAAATTGTCCCAGAGGGCTAAATATCACGGCGGTTGGTTTTCGCATTTATACCGGTGGTCAACAACAAGTATACGCACCTAGAAACAATAATTCGATAATATGTTATGCAAATTTTATAAATATGCGAATAATTACAACACTTGATGTGATAAGGCAGTAAGGCCGAGTTAATTATGTTATACACTAATGAAATTATAGTATATTATGCGTACATAAAAAGATAGATATAGATGTTTGAAGTCTTTGAAGTTTAAACGGTACTATTATCTATGTGTAGAAATGTGTTTGTTCGACGTTATACAGCAGCTATTATAATAATATAATGTTTATCGAACGAATAAAAAAAAAAAATAAAAAAAAATAACATGCATCGTCATTGTTTTAACAGTATATATTATAGGTAACCTATCTAAAGCTGTTCGACGATATTTTTAATGGGTATACGTATTACGCATCGTAAAAATTATTGGTTTTACCAAATAACGTACCGACGAAATGTGATTTCGCTAATTTGCATAATACACATACAGTATACACACTGCGCACACTTATCGGTTATTACACGCACATTGCATTGCAGCAAATGCAAATCTCGGACAAAATATTTTAAAATATTCGAGTAAATATACTCGACGGACGCTAATAGCTCGTCAGTACACGGTGATTTATGGGCGAGGAGGTTTCTGGACTTTTAATTATTTGTAATATTTTTCAAAAATGTTTACATTTCAATACGTTTTAACTAAAGAATAATAATAATTATTATAGCACAGGCATTATATAGATCTCGATTCAAAAGCCACAAGTATTATTTAAATAAATATAAAATATATTATTTTTAACAGAGTTGAAAAAAATGTTTTAACGGTAAATGCATACATAAAGAACACAATGGTGGCGAAAACTGAGGCCTGAAAACAGGAGTCTGGTGGCCCGGGGGCGGTGGCCCTCCCCGAATTCCTCCATAATTCGGGCTTGAGTCAAGTCTCTAGTTAACTACGCGCCCCTGTTATTCACCACAATTTTATACCAATCAGTACGACTAAGTACGCATTTTGAGTGCATTTTACAGGGACAACAAATTGTTTTTGTTTACAAACCTATCAGACAATATAGCCGTTAATCGGTGCGTGTTCAGTTGTTTTAACGACGCACGTAATACTGCGTGGAACACATGTTACGATTTTTAAATAATACGTACAATGTACAAATGTATACATTTAAATATAATATACATAATAATTATTGTACGTGCCAATTTTTAATTATTTTACTTTGCAAAACGAGACGATTGATATAGTCGGGCATCTACTTATATACTTTATCTGGGTTTTGAAAACCAATATGAATTTATCAGATTTATCTTAAATTGCAGGCATAAATGTAATAATAACCATGCGCAATAGATAGGTATAACACTCGTATTTTATATATTCTCGACGGGTCTATAGGTTTTGTTGCGTTTCAATTATTTCGCTTTCGAAAACGGTATAATTTCATAAAAAAAAAAAAATTACTAGTTCTGCTTATGGTTGTCCCGCTTTTTTAGGAGAAACATTAAAAGAAAGATACTACGCATAGAGTAATTTAACATGTGTCTGTACGCAACGATAAACGATTGCTAATTGAAAACGTTTCTGATCAAAGTATTATTAGTCGCATTTTTTGTATTTTTTATCATCAAGGAATTCCCGAAATCAACAAATATTATACACAACGAAACGTTATTCCCATTTCATTAAGAAAACAACAAAGAAAATTTAAAAAAAACCTCAACGCACCAACTAGATCGAAATTCCACATTGAAGTTTGGGTAAGAGAAGAGTAGTGAAGCATCATTTACGTGGTGGGGTGATGGGCGGATTTTGATCCCACAAAAAAAGTACCTAAGGTTTTTAAACCGCTGCAGTATAATCAAAAATATTGCTCAAAGCAATTGGTCTGGTAAAAATTGCACATGTTCACAGATGTTTATCAAAATTGACCTTGGAAAAAAATTGTATATTTTTTCGATGTAGAGATAAAAAAGTATTTTTGAAAACTTTAATTACTTGAAATTGTATTTTTAATGATTGTCTATTGTACTTTGAACATAATTTATGACGATAATAATATTAAGTAATAATAAATAATTGCCGAGTACTGTAAAAACGGCCGTGGAATAAATTTCCCAATTTTTTTTTTTCTTCACATGATAATTTTGGTATAATGGACATATTTGATTTTACCATAATTATCGACTATAAGCGTCCACATAAGCGTTCACGGATATAAAAGAAACTGCATTATATTATCGTCCCGCTCCAAATCTTAAATATCTATGTGTACTTATTTGTTGATTATATTATTATTCTCGACGGTTTATTGACGCACACGAACGCGACAAAATTGTATTACTTTAACGTTATTATAATGTACATTATTGGGTAAGTCAGTGGTGTGCGAAAGAGGGGAGGTTAGGGGTTATATCGCCCCGTTGGCTTAAAATACATGAAAATATTAGTAATTTAATGTCGAAACGTATTTATTTCAGCCAAGTTACGAGTTAAATTAAAAATTCTATAACATTAAATTTTACACTTATATAGTTACCGTAATTGAACACAAATGGCAATTTTATTTTATTTTTCCTTCAAGTCCGTCGATTTTTTTCCCATGTAAACTTAACGATCACATAATCCGGATGAATAATTCTCACACATTGGATAACCACCGAGTCTACAGCTATCCACAATTAATGATCGGCCGTATAGTAGTTGCAGGTACCAATTTGAAATCGTAGAGCGTGAATCGGGGGACATTATTGTGATAGTAAATTAGCGGGATTCCGTTATCACGAAGTATACCTACGCCGACTATAGGTGTACCGACAGAGTATTCAACACATATCAACACGCTTCGGTACCGACAGTGAATTTCGGGATTTTCAGACATCGAATACGTGTATAATTATTATTTAACTCGCCGGAGAGCTGAGGAGGGG